ACTGTCGTCAAATTCTTAATAGAAAAATGATGAATTTGGAATATAATTAATAGTTGAGTAACCATTTTATAATTTTTAATAGTCGAAAGACTCAACAAATTAACACTATATAGTCGAGACAATTTGTATACTTAGAATACTAAAATACATTTTCAAGTGCATAACTTATTGATATCAAAATCGAATGATGAATATTTTAGTGAACGTGAATGACCCTAAAGCCTTAATTGTATTTGGTTTTATCGTTGATATGGATTTTAAATTGTTTGAATTATCTTTTATATTTTGATCAATAAAAGAATTTTTAAAATAGTGATCGTTTTGGTGATTTGAAAGGATATATTAGTCATATCTTATGGATGCGGCTCTTGAAAAATATTTATGGATGCGGCTCATTTGAGAATGTGGTTGCACCGAAACTCAACCCATAGCACCACCGTAGATAGTGGGGAATGGCCACTCTGCCAACCGCCATTTTCTGAATATACATATAATATTCAGTAACGACTTTGATATGATAACATACAAGGAAAACAGTGAATTTTAATACAAGCAAGTTAGGATGGAATGATTTACTTCTTTAGTACAAGGAAAAAAGAAAAGAGCTAGTGAAACTGTAACTCACAGTCACAGCTAATGAAAGTCGTGAAGATGATTTTAGCCAATCACCCTATAACTCGAACCCTAACTTCACTAAGACTAGAAACCGCAAAATCTTTGATTTCACAAGGGAAGTACCGATCCTTAGCTTCTATTTTGTTAGGATAACAACGAAATTCCACCAGAAGAGAATGATCTTTTCATTGAAACAGGCCCCTTGGATAAAGCAACTTTCATATGCTTGAACTTCCAGTGCTTCGTTTCACACCAATCTTTCCCTTCCAATAGTTCAACTGCTCTAATTCAGTGTCTAAGCTACCACAATGTTTATGCTCTGCGGTTGTTTCACAAGCTATATCCAGGGCACAAGTTAAATCCAACGAAAGCGACCTCCTCGCTTGAATTACATCTTCAATCGGACAGGTTCTCGATTCTTCATTAGTTCTGTCTTCTCCGATATTGTTTTCGACCAGGGTTTCGTTGCTCGAACTTGAACCGATGGAATTAGGTTCCAACGTACTGGTTTGAACAACCATGGCATCCGAAACAACAGGGGCTCGACACAACGGGCAGTTTGGTGCGACCTTAACCAAGTATCAGTACAAGTCAGGTGGAAACCGTGGCTGCACTTTGGCAAAAGCCTAAGGTTTTCATCCTCTCGGAACTCATTCAAGCAAACAGAACACTCAGTCCCTTCAATCAATCCTTCATCTTTTTTATACCTAAAAACTGCGATCGAATCGATGACTGATTGCTTGAGACCGATCTTGTTGATGTACCATATGGGGTTAAGATTATCTAAATATGACATTATTTGATCTTCATCGAGGAAAAAATCATCTCAAGAACCGAAGAAAATAACTGGTAAACTTCGTCTCTTATATTTAAAACAGTACCGGCGGTGCTGGTTGCGGCACTTGTGGCCGAAGCTACGACGGTGGAAGATGGTTGTCTCTACAATGTATTACATAGTGGTTTTGGTTTAGGTCCATAAAACATTGTGAGAAAAAACAGAGGAAAATGAAAGCCAAGGGAGAATTTGGTCTTGTTTTACTTTGTGTTTTGTGGAATATCAGTCCTCCATCAATGGCGAGAGCTTGAATTTTGGGTTATTTATTTTCCACAAATTTCATGTGAAGTCATGAGATTGGAGAAATTTAGTTTTCCATGAAAGGAGGACTACATTTGCGTGTATGCATCTACTAGGTAGCTTCGTTTTTGTCAATGTCCGTAGACTCTTTGTGGTCAAGCACACGTAGATGTTAACGTAGTGAAGGGTCCATGAAAAACAACAAATCCCCATCCCATCAAATTTGAAGGGTGGATTGGTACCTTTGCCTGTTCTTCCATCAAAGCCTCCTCTAAAGATTTTTGTGACACTTTATATCTATAAATTAGAGAACTGAAAAGGAAAATGATAGGAAAAGCATCAATTCCCTTGTTTGGAAGAGAATACTACTCACAATATTAAATGTAATACTAAACCATATTTTTAATAATATTTTCAAAATTTTTCTTAGCCTATCAACAACGAACACACATTTGCATATATAAATTAATTATCTAAAATTTAAATGTATTAGAGTACCTAGAATGCACGATTGTATTCTAGAATATGCAATGTGTGTATGTGCTCCTAATATGGGCATTGTGTGTGTGTGAGTTGTTATGGCTGTTAAAGAATTTTGGAATCTGTTAAGGAATGTTAGAGTATGTTATGAATTTGTTATAGGGTAGAGTAAGCTTGAAGGCACAGCTTCTGTATATAAGCTGGTTGTAATGCAGTTGAGTATCTGAATGAAATTTACCAAACATTATTCATTGAGTTTCTCAACATGGTATCAGAGCAACTCTTTTGTTGAGAATACCTATGAAATGCTTGTGAGCCAGACTTCAGTGGCATCTAGTGGGAATTTTCCCTTCACTGCATCAGACATGCCAGGGATGGGAGTAGACACATCAGCACTTAATTCAGCCTTCACATCAGATGTGGCAAGTTCAATAGAATTGCAACTGGGACCTGATAATGGAGATGGAATTCTAGAGGTTCCCTTAGATCACTCTATCAGATTCAGTGGAATTTTAATCTCACAGATCTGATAGCAGATTTGTCAAACTTGAGAGATTTAGGATCCCTCGAAAACTACCCTGGTTCTCCTTTTCTTCCTTATGATTCAGAAATGTTGCTTGATTCTTCGGAGCAAGAGGATATAATGGAGGAATTTTTTGTTGATTCTGTCCCTGGACAGTCATGATCCCCATATGATGAAGAAAAATCCTAGGCCAAGGTGAGTGTTGTAGCTTATCTTCTTGAAGTTGTTAAGACGGGTTAGAGTTAGATCAATAAGAGCAGGCATTTGAAGTCTATTCGATAGGGGCATTTTGTTAACAAATTCCAGCATCTCGACAGTGTAATTTTAGCTTCATCAACCAAATAGCAATTAGCAAACAAGAATTCAGCCAAGTGTCCATGAAAAAAAAAATGTCAAGGATCCTTGTAAAAGAGGATGAAGAAGAAAGAAATGAAGGTGAATAAGAAGAACGAAAGGAAGCATCGGCACTTTCGATTCAAGTGAACGGAAGGAAACATAAGCACTTTCGATTCAATTGTTCATTTTTCATCAAGGAGAAGGAAAAGAGTAGGGAGAATATTAGAGTATCTAGAATACACGATTGTATTCTAGAATATGCAATGTGTGCATGTGCTCCTAATATGGGCATTTTGTGTGTGTGAGTTGCTATAGCTGTTAAGGAATGTTGGAATCTGTTAAGGAATGTTGGAGTCGTTATGAATTGATAGAGTAAGTAAGCTTGAAGGCACATCTTCTATATATAAGCGGTTGTAATGCAGTTTGAGTATCTGAATGAAATTTACCAAACGTTATTCATTGAGTTTCTCAACAAAATGTGTATATACAAATTCATATACTAAAGTAGGCTTCTTCTTTTTTTCAGTTTTTTCGTAAAGTCTAATGATCGATTTCAAAGTTTTAACTTAACATGGAAGAGATTCATTTGTGTCAAGATATGGTTGAGTTCTTATAATGAGTCATCGGTACTTGGTTAGATAGCAACTCTGTAAATTGTTCCATCAAAAGATTTTGTATTGTTAACTCATGTGTGCGTATTTTCAAAAATATTTTTAAATATGTCCCTGATTTCATCGATGTTTTACTTGTTTCTCTTGCAAGCTCGAGGCCATGTGACTGTCGATGAGGTAGAGAGCAAAACGCAAGCCGTAACAAACAGCATCTTAATGAAATGAAGTGATCTGTTAGTTAGAAAATGAAAATTGAATTTCAAGCAATTTGTTAGAGTAAACCATGCTGATAGTTGCCTGTATATGTGAAAATATATTAAGTAAAGTGCTAATTTCGTTTTCTTAGGATTATTTAATAATATTAAATATAAATGGCTTATTTTATTAATAATAAATATTAAATTATATAGTTAAATTAAATTAAAAATTTATGATCAAATAAAAATTAAAATCAAATGATTTGTAATATAAGTTATCTGATTTAGAACAAAACAAAGGAAGTTGTATTAATGTGGAAACATACAAATCAATCAATCAAATAAAAATAATTGTATCAATTTGGAAGCAGCTCTTTTAACAAAATACTATGTTTATGAATTAAGGCTAATTTTTCCTTTTATAGGAAGAAATTTGAAATGATCGGCGATTAAACTCACCGACTACGAGTAGTGAAGGGCATGATACGCTGATGCCAGCCAAATCTTTTAAGCTTTAAAAGTATATGAGTAAAAAATTCAGCTCCGAGCCATATAAAAGTATCAATTATGAATAGTTAATATATAGAAAGAATAAACGATGAAGTTGGTTCAAGTAGTAAACAATTTAATATCGTTTAAGCAAGATCTTAGGTTCGAGTTATTATATATGTAAAAGATTTCTGTTGGAAAACTCATCCACCAAAATCAGGTGTGCGACCTGAGTAGGTCTAGATTAATCAACACGAAGCTGTGGAACTGGGGCATGGATAATTAATATATATAGGGAAAACTATCTATGTTAACACCTTAACTTTAGGGTATATTTATTTTGTTCACCAAAAATGCTCTCAATTTGTTCATTTCGTTAGAAAAATTATTCATTTTAATCATTCGAGCATTAAACACTTATGGCTTTAGTAGTTAACTATCCAATTGGTCACTCGATTATTAGTATACTTTCATTTTGGTAGTGATTTATTTTTATAGTTGAAACCTTACGGCTTTAACCACTCAATCATTTATGTTTGTAACTCGTATAGTTATTACAAGGTGTTGTCTATTCATAATTATTATAAGGTGTTGTCTATTCATAACTTTTTTAACTATTAACAATATACACTCAAACACAATTACTTGAACCCAAAATCTCAAGGGAAATCAACACTCTCTTTAACCACTAAGCCGTGACGACATATCCCAAAATTTTAGGGTTTTTTTATTAAACAAACTAATATATGGGGGGGGGGGGGTTTGGGCAGTTTTAAATTGATTGAAGGAATTGATATTCAAGCTATTGAATAACATATTAGTAAGTATCAGAAGGAAAATGCTGAGCTGATTATGATCAGTCAAGCTCGGAAGGTACCTTTTGGTAACCCTTTTTTATTTTTCTCTCTGGTCTCCTTCATGGAGATCGACTGAGGCTCATAACAATGTCATTTCACTTTCTTTCTCTTTTTACAAAACTATTTCATAGAAAAAAAGTTGTTTTTATAAGTTAATAAGTTGTTTTGATGAACATGCTGAAGATTTAGCTGCAGCAATGGCAGCAAGCAAGGGACTTCCTGCACAGGCCGATACTGATGGGATGAGAAATTCCTATTGTCTTTGTTTTTTTTATACGTTTACCGTTAGTTGTTGAATTCTGTTTCTAAATTAAAGCATGCATCATCAGTTGATCATTTACAAGTTGGATCATGTGTTGTTAGAACTCTGCCTCAGCCAATCTTGTTAGTTACTGTTGTCGCAATTAATCTCTTAACCTTATTCATATTGCAACGGGCTCGAGCAAAACAACTAATAGTCAGTTCTTTCAAACAAAAAAAAAATAAGGCTAATAGCTGGTTTAAATGTTTGATGTTTTAGATAGATGATGGTCGTTTATTTGACAAAGTCGTTTGTTTTTCCCTTTGAGGAATTTATTTATTTTGTTTCCCATTACTGGAAAGAAGAGAAAATATGTACCTTGCACGTTTAATTTGCTTAACCTTAGTGTTCATGTATTTGATATCTTGATAGCAATCTGGTCAGTTCTTTCAAACAAAAAAAAAAAAATAAGGCTAATAGCTGGTTTAAATGTTTGATGTTTTAGATAGATGATGGTCGTTTATTTGACAAAGTCGTTTGTTTTTCCCTTTGAGGAATTTTATTTTGTTTCCCATTACTGGAAAGAAGAGAAAATATGTACCTTGCACGTTTAATTTGCTTAACCTTAGTTTTCATGTATTTGATATCTTGATAGCAATCTGGTAGTTTTGATTTGGACATTTTCAGCTACCATAGTTTTCGTCATTTACTGGACTCGCAAAGCATTACTAATATATCTTTATTTATTTCTATATTTCCTCAAAATTATGTTTAGACCATTTTGATTTCTTTTACTCAAGTTCTAACGAAGATGCAAGATAACTTATATATATATATATATATTGTTGGATTGGATGAATCTTAGCTTCCATATTTCTCAAATATTGTTTCTTCTGTAGCTCTCCACAGTTTTTGGTCAAAACAATAATGGGATACTTTGACATATGGACTTTTCAATTTCTTATATTCTATTGCTTTTAGACTCTTTTTTCTCGCATCCAGCATGCAAAAATGTTACAAATTGATTGTTTGTTTACTTAAACTGGCCCTATGCCAGAGCTCTCAAGCAGGGTTATCAGTCGGTGCTCAAGGTCAATATGCACCAACAGTTGCTGGAGGGCAACCACGACCAATAGGCATGGCACCACAACCTGTGCCACTTGCCAGCGGGCTGGATATGCACGGCTATGCTCTTGATGATGAGGCTCCGAGCAGAAAGAGGTGGAAGAGCAGGCTGATGGATAATAGAGTTGAGCAAGAAGAGGGCACTGGAAGAAGCCTTTGCGAGCATACGTGTTTGACGTTCTTGATGAAATATCGTCTTTTACTCCATGGCAAATGTAGCTTGGGTTACATTATCTAAATCTTGATATACTGCACGGGCCATATGCAACCATGGATTGGGGGGGGGGGACTGTTAAAAATCGTTTTTCTATTTGTGAATGTTGAAGTAACTCCATATATAGTGCAACTTTGCTCATCACCCCTTTATCGATCACATGCTTATCGATCACATGCTATTAATGCCGGGGTGACTTGTAAGGAGGTTTTGAATGTATGAAAATTTTCTGAAATTCTGATTCTTTCACTTCAGGCTTATATCTAGTGGATGGAACCATGTTGATCTTCTTCCTTAAAACTCAAAGTCAAATATGGAATTTATCAAACATAAAAAAATGCTACATTCCATTGAAGAATGCCAAAAATGGTATTTTTCATGTTTTGCGATCTAAATAATTTGACATATTTTCTAATTCATTTTTGAACATTTGTGTTGTGCTGTTTTTTTTAATAAGCTAAATGCATTCATATATAAAGAGTGCAACAAAGCTGCTATAGGAAAATGAGCACCCTAAAAGAAAAGACCCATTTTTCCTAAAAGAAAAGTTAGGAGCTCACTGAGGGATACCCATGTTGTACAAAGAGAAGATGAAAGCATTCCAAGAAAGTTTGAAGATGAAAGAGATGAGAGATTTAACTTGCAGGTAGTTAATAGTCCACTCCAACTCCTGATCCCACCTAAACACGGGCCTCTCCAAGCCGTAGATAGCCAAAATTTCCCTTTAAATCTTTTGCGAGAAAGAGCATCCAAAGAAGAGGTGATCTCTGATATCTACATCATTCCCACACAGAATGCATAACCCATCCATCACAACCCTCATTCGAGTAAGCATGTCCTTCATTATAAGCCTCCCCAAGATGGTCATCTAAATGATAATAGGATATTTAGACACGTGAAGTGGGAGCCAAATCAATTTATACCATGAGACTTTATCCCTTTTTACCCTAATCTCCAACCACAACTTTCGAGCATTCAAAGTACCTAAACCTACCGAAGCAGCCAAGATCGGGTAAGCTTCATTATGCATGGCAAACAACTTTCTCAAACCTGCCAAAACAACAAAGATAGGTAAGCCTCATTGCTCAAACCTTGCCCTTTATAACATAAACATGCACTCAAGCAACCTACAATGAACCTCCATTCGCAAGTATCTTCTTCGTCAACTGGAAATTGCAAGTCTTGTTCCGGCAGAACAAGGCCTCCTTCAAATTTTAGGGAGCAGTTTCGATGCCAACCAACCTTAGTCCAATATCATGAGCATCCAGGCTTTTCCAAATAAATCCTCGTATAGAGTTGATCAATTCTCTGTCACAATTTTAAAGAGAATAAATTGCTTGCACCAGAAGTTATTAGGTAATAACTCAAACCGCAAGATAAATAAATATTTATTAATTAATTATAATTTAGTATATATATATATATATATATAATATTTCATTATTTTTACCATTAACAAATTAAGAAATATATAGAAATTAATATAGATTTTATTCAATTATGTGATTTGATTTAGTGGGCAACGTGCTCCCATCTTTAGCTAGAGTCGTATATTTGAATACTCCCATTAGAATTTTTACTTTCTTTTTCCTATTATTAACTGGTATATTGCAATATATTCTGAAAGGACTTGGATGAGTGATTTAGGCTTTGGCGCACTCTCTTTTTATCTAAAATTTGAATTCGGTAGCGACTCATCTCACCGTCTAATTGAATATGAAATTTATTTATTTGAATTAAAATTAGAATTAAAGTAATAAAATATAAAAATATCAAGGATAAATGTGTATTTATCCTAAACTTTTTAATAACTACATTACTTCCTCCTTAAATATTGACTATTGATGATTTGGTTTAATTTATTCTTCTGTTTTCTCCACGTAGATAGAAGACGTGTCTAGTAAGGTATGCTTTCAAAGACGTTTTTCACGTAACACACTCTTATCTTATGTGATAAAAATATTATAAAACAAATATTATTTTTAATATTAATTTTTGTTTTAGTGATATTTAGATTAAAAAAAGTCAATAAAAAACTATGATGTTCATCGGGAAAAAAAAATAGTAAAATTTGGAAAGTGATAACCGGTTCAAAGATTCTCACTTAGCCGGCCTCGTCATAGTTGGCGGTTTCTAGTGCACCCTATATAAATGGAATTAAACTCAAAGCGTTCCTTTAATTTTCTTCTGTCACTTTGAAAATCCATTTCAATCAAAATAATAATAATAGTAATGAGAATATTTTTAAACATAATCTGAATTTATTTCATCTTCAATCAAAAATAGAAAGGAGGAATTGGAAAAATGGCGACAGTGTCCCCATTGGCGAAATACAAACTGGTGTTCTTAGGCGATCAATCCGCCGGCAAAACCAGCATCATCACACGCTTCATGTACGATAAATTCGATACCACTTACCAGGTAAATGTTCCGTCATTCTTTTAACATTTGACGTTGATTAATGCAGATTCAATGAGCGTTTGAGTTTTGACTATTTCTCGAAGTCGTCTATTTTCTTATGTTATTATGAATTTGATTTCTATTCAAAAATATTATGAATTTGATTTAGTTTCCGTATATGATTTATTGATCTCTCCGTTCAATATTGATTTCGAATCTTAATTATGGTATTGACGTCGTCTTTGTTTGTTTTGTTGATAAAGGTCCTTATTTACGAAATGCTTGATTTGTAATGTACAAAAGATCTGTTCAATTTTCCTTAAAATACTAGAGCAGATCTCCTTTTTCCCCTTTTTTAAATAATCAGTTTAGATTTCTTTTCTGTAAGATGCTATTTGTAGTTTAATGAATGCTGGAATTGAAGGGATGTTTATACGTGTATTTTCTTAAATAATTGCTATATAAATGCAGGCCACCATTGGAATTGATTTTTTGTCAAAAACAATGTATCTTGAAGATCGAACGGTTCGTTTGCAGCTTTGGTAATATAGTTTCTTCCTTTATTACCTCTATATTCAACAATAAAGATATCATATACCTATTTTCATCGTTTTTTTATTAGCTCTGGATCCATTGCTGTTGAATGTTCAATAAAGAAGCAATCAAGCATATTTCTAGTGAAATTAAGGTGTTGATTGCTTAAATTTTAGACTACAAAAGCTTACTTCTGTTATAAGGCAGTTTTATTTCGTTGTAAGTGATGAAGCTTTACAAAGAAACCATTTCTGCTAGTTGAATCCCCAGCAGCATTTCCTCCTCATGCGGTTGATAACTTTTAGAAATCGAAACTGATGGTTTAGGAGTCTTATTCCAAGTTATATCAGAGATTCTTCTGTTGCAGTAATAGTCTATGATGTAGCTAGTGAGTATGAGCTTACCCGACCTTTTTTCTCCTTTTTGATTTCATAAGATGATAAACTATATTGGTATATATGTTAACCACAGTTATCTCATTTCAGATAGGCAATCGTTTTTGAATACTTCTAAGTGGGTTGAGGAGGTACGTACGGAACGAGGCAGCGATGTCATTATTGTCCTTGTTGGCAACAAAACCGATCTAGTTGATAAGAGGTAAGTGATGAATTGGAAAATTAACTTTCTTCTCTTTTTTTTTTTTGCTACAAATTACATTTATAATTTATTTTTCTTTTCTCCTACTTTCTTTTATTTACATTTTTAATCAACCAAACACAATAATGATGTTATTTTCATTTCTCCACTTTGGTGCTTGAACAGGCAGGTTTCTATAGAGGAAGGATAACAAAGCTAAGGAACTTGAAGTTTGTTTATAGAAACCATGCAAAAGCAGGATTCAATATCAAGGAAAAATAAAAAAACAACATTGATTGGTAGACTGATGATTATATTATAAAGTCTTAAAGTAAAACTAAGAGAGAGTACTATTATTTAGGATTGTGAATGAACTAGACTTACGTTAACTCGTTCATTCAATCAATGAACATAAAATTTTAATCCATATATACAAGTAATTTGTCAAACTAATTAGCACCGATTTGTCCAAACTAATGATACATATCCTGTTTTAGTTAGAAGTTGATGAACAATTAATCAAAAGTATGAGCGTCATTGTCCAAATAATTAGAGTCTCACGTAGAAACTCAGGCCGATTTGATAACTTCAGCTACTCCAATCAGAAATCGACATCTTCCATATACTCGCATCACTCCATTTTGGGTACAAAATATGTTTGTTAATGTTGATTTGCTTCCCTTTCATATTTGAGCTGGATACGATGCTTTTAGGCAGATGACTTGTAGTAATCATATTTATTACTATTAATCTGAAATTGCAGCCTCTATTCCGCAAGATCGCGGCTGCCTTACCGGGGATGGAAACTCTTTCTTCAACAAAACAAGAAGACATGGTTGATGTGAACTTGAAATCCACCGCCAATTCTTCCCAAACGGAGCAGCAAGGAGGTGGTTGTCCATGTTAAAGACGAATGTGTAGTAAAAAAAATAAGAAGCATTCAAGCATTGTTTTCTTCAACAACCAAATATAAGGTAAACAAAATTTTCCAGAAGAAAATCCATTGTTTTGCTGAGCAAATTTACAGTCCATTTTTCATAACTATTTCAGGGATCTAGTCTTTGATTTTTATCTTAGTGTAGATTGTTTTTGATATCTTTTAATTGTTATTTTCATCGTCGTTGGTACTTTTATTTCATGAAACGTAGTAACTAGAGTTCAATTATAATTTTCCAGCATTTTATTTCTCGGAAAAGTACTTTCTAGCGTTTTAGGATAGCCAGTTTCTCTGTTATTGAGATTTGATATTTGAGATCTTCAATGCTCTGAAAAATAACTTATTTTGTTCCTCGAGGGAAAAGTATCATCTACAGAAGGATAGAACATTAACAAATAAATTGTAAACATGTATAATTATTATTCGTTAATCAAAATAAATGGTTTTAAATATGCTTTTAGTTTCGTTCAAGAAGGTTTATGCTCATGAAATTACTCATTTTTTGTTTATATGATCGCTTAAAACATCAGGAAAATTTACTAGCGATCATGAGCATAATTCATTTAATATTCGTGAAGCAGTTCACATACTTGTTATGGTTTCGGTCCCCGAATATTGACAGTGATAAAAGATGCTGCATTGCTGAATCACTATTCATATTTACAAGAAAAGAAAAGGAGTATATGTATATATAGACATTGAAAAGCTAAACTTAAGGAAGAAAAAAACAGTTAAAGAGCATGGGTTTGAAGGAGATACATACGAAGGCGCTAGGCATGGTTGTACCCGTCGATACTTTGTCTAACTCTCAGCGTCAGATAAATCAATATCAATGTCCCCAGACTTGACCTGAACCGAAGAAGAAACAATAAGTGAAGGAGAAAATAAAGAAAAAAGAATCATCCCTCTCATTTTCTTTCCATTCTTTACTTGGTAGAGTAGAAAAATGAGAGGAAAGAAAATGTATCTTCGAAAATAACACAATGTTTTGTCTATTTTTTGTTTCCAGATCTTTACTACTTATTACTGAAATGTTTTATCTTAATGAAAAGAAAGTAGTTTGAAAGTAAAGGGTTGGTTTTCCAGGAATCGCAGAGCTTACAAGATTGAGAAAAGGAGGACTATTTTCCTCGAGTCAAATGACGCAGCTCGCTTATATCTCCACCTGTTCGTAGGTGCGTCATGAACCCTATCCGTTGATGATTTGTCTGTCAAAATAAAACTCGGTTTAAGTCGTATAACAAGCTCCTGGATGGTCTGAGATATAGCCCGTGGAGTTAATACGAAGCAAACGTGTAACCAAAAGGAACTAGATAGTTTCCTAGATGTAATACATACAATACTGCATAGAACAGGTAGCAGATTGTTGTGAAATAATTACAAAACTCACATATAAAAAAACCAAATTTACTGATTAGGAACAATAATTATATAGTTCAAATCTTTAATAGCTTCAAAGCCCTTTGATGATCAAGTATCAATCAAGGACCTGTTCACTGGCTAATTGCAGTTCATTTATTCTAGATCACTGAAATTATACATGTTAAATGAAGTTCTTTTGTCAACTTAAACCTTCTCGAGGGTGAATGTTTAAGCCTGGAGCAGGAACCAGAAGAAGATTAACATGTTTTTCAACTTATGTACAAATCTCATTCAATCTGATAAAAGGGCAAGCTTAGATGTCAAACCACCACATCAAATGTGTGCATAAAACATTGTAAACCTTAAGCGTTTTATAACCGCTGGGACACTAGCAGAATATTCTATTTTCTTGTAAGAGATTAACATGTTTTTCAACTTATGTACAATCGCATTCAATCTGATAAAAGGGCAAGCTTAGATGTCAAACCACCACATCAAATGTGTGCATAAAACATTGTAAACCTTAAGCGTTTTATAACCGCTGGGACACTAGCAGAATATTCTATTTTTCTTGTTTCTATTTACAAGAAGCTGCCAACCATAGCTTGTGAAAAAGAATGTGCAATCATGACTGAATCATGGAAAATATTGTTATATATAGGTAATAGAATATGCTTACAGACATCTCAGAGTAAGTTACGTACAGTTGAACCCGTTAAAATTCAAAACTCACCAACAATTAAGCTTGCTTGTCTCTGCAACACCTTCTGCAAATGCTGTTATTCATTGAGATCTAACATTAGAGTCAAGAGTGAAGAAGAAACAATGTACCAAAACCTCAAGGAAGGAAAATCAGCAACACTTTGATGATTAAATAAATAAATTTGGTGTGTCTGACACAGTATGCATGATCTACGTTTTGCTGAATATGCCTGATCTATATAGACAGCTAGATCAAATTTACCGTTACTACGCCTTCACTTTTTAAATTTCCAATGGTTTCATCACTGGATTTAAGCGTGTCAGGAGTCTCTTTCTCTATGTTTATATCCAGAATGCAAGATGAATATCCATCTCCACCGTCCACTTTCAAATCAATGCAGTTCTGGCAACTCGGCGGTGCATCCAAACACATCTGGTTTTTCGATGAAAAAGGAACTTCTAGGAGGCTCAAAAAAGATAACTGTGGTGTACAATTTGAACTCGTGTTTCCTTCCTCAGGCAACAGAGAAATGCTATAGACATCTTGGCCCTGCATGAGGAATGGAAAATATATAGGCACATAGGGAAAGTGCTGAGAAGAATGGCTCAAGTGGTTTCCAAATTCTCATTTTAAAGTAATTTATTTACAGGAAAGATCATAAAAGTTGTGAACCAACTTTTAAACAAAGATTGCTGGGATAACAAATATTGGTTAGAAAATAGAAAGCATAGAATCTAGAATACCAAAAATACCAGCCCAATGGGAAATTATGAGACAAGAAAAAACCATTCAAACTTTAGCACTGAATCATAGGACACAACAGGAACTGAAGTACTTAAAACCTGGTCCATCATGAAGTCATCTCAATGGACCGGCGCTTGTGTACTTCTTTATCTGAGTTATATTTACTAAAAAAAAACACCCTTCTATAATAATTATCACAAGGTTAGATAGCCGAAAACAGGTTTTAAGCTTGCTTGGGAGATATAAACGTGTAACTAACATTTCTATCATGGTGGTGGATTAGAGCAAATCTAGTACTATTAGATTACAACCTGAATTTACATCAACAACATTGCAAGCTGTTATAAAGAAAATATATGATAAGATTAATCCAGAAAGTGAGTTTTTAAAAAATCCTCATTAGACCAAGATGATTGAAAGATTGAAAAGGAGTTATAGGTGAGGAGAAAAGGACCGGTACAGATTACAGAAAATGAACTTACGTGTGAAGTGTTTAAGCTGCATTTTTCTCTTACTGGAAATGAAGTCTCCTCTATTAGAATAGGCAATACATCTGAAATTTCAAATAAAAGGAACTTATTAAACATGATATTCAAAGTAAGGACATTGATTAAACTTATGTTCCTCGGACTAGGGTGGTTTGATAAAGGTATGCCTCCAGCATAGGTATGTTCAACTTTTAAAAGCTTTTTTCTTGTATTTAGAGGATCCTTGGAGGGCTCTATATCGGACATGAGCGTTTAACACGAATTACTTCCAAAAAAATTGAAGAACCGGAGCAACATAAAACAATAATCTATCTAAGACGAATATCCCTACCAAGAGAACAATGCTGGTTTGTCTCATCAAATCCTGGTTTAATAAACTCAATGCATGAAATGTCAACCGGTAAACTGGTGCTTTCATCCACCATCCCAGAAAAGAATAGTTTTTCCTGCAATTAATCACGAGTTAAAACAAAGCATTGCAAAATAAACTTTGAAGGGGAACACGGATTATAAAACAAAGAAGGATCAGTTTTCTTTTTCTCCATTTTTTCAGGTTCCGTTACTTACTAGTCACTAGAAGCAAAATTGAGAGTGAAGTCAAACGTGAGAGAGATATTATCTAGAATTTTTTCTAAGTCAACGCTGATTTTCTATCTACTTACAGTTTCAAATGGCTGACATTTTACAGTTAAATCTAGTAGAAACTAATTTGTAGAAATGAAGAATTTATATTAAAAGAAGTTTTCTTTTTTTGATGTGAAGAGAAGAAATCCACATAAAGAGAACCAGAAATAGGAAGTAGGCAATGCAAGAAAGTTCATCATATCCATTCAAGCAAATACAAGTGAATGTCTTCCTTATTCTACATTTTTCAGCTACCTAACAGTAAATTTTTTTAAAAAACTGAAATAGCCACGGAATGTAGACTTGATCATAAAGACCATGAAATTTCAGCTAATCATATTCGATAAAAATGAAACGCAATCCCCTTC